TTTTTTTGCTTACTTTTTTGAGACATGGTTTATCTGTGTTTACCTGGCTGTCCTGGAACTGGCTCTCTAGACCAGGCTGTCCTTGAACTCACAGAGATCTGCCTGCGTCTATCTCCCCATCCCAAGGCAAAGGGGTGCTCCACCACCACTGGACTTCCACCTTAATTTTTGAGACAGGGAGTCTCGCTGATGTCAGGCCAGCAAGCTCCCACAGGAGCTTCTCCCACCAGGCTAAGATGACACAAGGAAGCTGGCATGTCCTGTTGTCACACCCATCTCGCCAGCCCTGATCTTTCAGAATATTTAGAATCTCCATATTCTTTTGGAGCCAGGTTTCCACTCAGCCTGGAACTCACTCATGCCTGGCATGGAGGTTTTCCTACTTAACAGGGCAGAGTGGCTCAAAGCAGGAATTCCTGCATGGACAGTTAGAGACGAGAAGGTGAGGATCCTGCTCAAGGTCATAGTTGGCTACAGAGTGGCCTCCCTGGGCTGTGTGAGGCCTTGAGTAAACCACAATGCTAACAGTGTTTCAGTGCAGCTAAGGAGGAGCTGAGCCAGCAGCATCTTCAAGACTATAAAGCCAGCCTGGACTACACACTGTGTTTCAGTCCAGCCCGAGTTACAGGGCAAGACTCTTTGTGAACACTAAAAACATCAAAGAAAAGCAGTTCGTAGCATACTGTTACTACTAACCAAAGTAGACAGAACCAATGTCAGAAAATAAGATGGAAGTGTGCACCTACACCTAATACACCTGTCAGGGAATAAGAGCCGATCCTCATCTGTGGTTGCAGATAGAATGTGTTCTCTCAGCATACTTCTGTGGGTCTGTAATTTTTAGGGTGGGTCATTCAAGGTATTATGTCTGCTGTTTGTTTGTTTTTAATTTGCTATGTCTATTATAATCAATTGAGGTTTTTATATTATATTTGCATTATTGTTGCTGTTTATGGCCAGCATGAGTGTCTGGTGATTCCCTTGGGATTTAACCCATGACAGAGAAGCTGACCTGCCTGAAAGTTGTTCATATGCAAGAAAAACACACAAACACAGAGACGGAGACAGAGAGAGACACAGAAAAGAGAGACTCACCAGTGGCTGTGTGTTCAAGTGGGTAGAGGGCAGGTGAACAATACAGTAGTCTTAGGGGACCACAATGTCAGGCCAGATCAGCCTCCCAGGCTGGCCAGAGTCTCCTGAGAAGTTCTCCTCAGTTTGAGTAGTTCAGCCTGGTCCAGTGGCTGAGGCCAGAAAAGGATCCCGTGGCGTGTACTTTCCCAGAGTTGTTGACGGTGGCTGGGAAGCGTGGGTTTCTGGGGTGCTCTTCTCACCTCAGAGTGGAAAAAGACACTCCTTTCTTCTCAGATTGGGTTGCTTAGAGAACAGAGCAGATTAAGAGGCAGAAATGTGTTCTCACAGTGGGGGAACACAGGGACACATTCTTGAACACAGAAGATATTCCAGGATGGTTGTCATCAGAGACGTTCTAATTAGGAAGACAGCTGGAGAGACAGACCACCACACCAGTCACACAGTCTTCTCTGGGTCTCATGCTGTGACATGTTGACAGAAAGAACACCAGATGAGATTTTACCAATGTGACTGTGGCATGGACGAGGCAGCTTCCCGGAAGCCCCTCCAAAAAAAGTGGAAAGCCTGCTTACCTTTGCAAGAAGCATTCTGCAAGGCTCAGAGAAATAGGAGCAATCTTAAGGCTTTTCACTGCCGAGAGCAGACTCAGGCAGGCTCAAGGCAGGGACCACAGCAGGTTGCTGACCCCTCATTAGGTTTTCTGGTTTCACTCCTAATCATGACACCTACCAGTTCCTCGGGGTGTGGCACATGGTGGTGAGTGCAGGAGCCAGTTCTCATTGTGAATGGTGGCCTTGAAGGAGCAAGCAGGCAGAGACAGGAAGTGACTAGCTGGAGGGCAGAATTGGTGGTGAGGGGGGACTCTGCTGCCCTGGCGTCACTCCCCAGCTCAGATTTTCCCAAGCTTTGGGTCTGAGGACTCAAGCAAGGGAATTTGCTGTGATGACTTTTGGGAATTCTTGCAAAAGGCTCTTGAAGGAGCCTGCCCTCTAGGAGAGTCCTATAGGGCTACTTGCAGGACACATTCTCAGCCTGGCAACCCAACTTAGGGCAGGCTGACTAGGAATACTCTCCTTGGGGAGAGAAGTCTCACCCCATGGAGAAGACTATGTTCTCTGCCAAAAACAGCGGACAAAGGTCAGGTACTACTCAGAGCTCAATTTCCGGTGTTTTCCTAGGCAGGGGGAGAGGGCAAGGCACTATCGTTCCACAAGACAGCCTAACGCACCTTTGCACCTCAGCCCTCCACAATGAGCTAGACCCTGTGGGAAGCCTACTCTTCCTGCCTGGGATTTTACCTGGAGAGATAGATGTTCTCTGGGGTGGACAGCTCTTCCTCTGCAGAAGGGGCCTGTGGCCAGACTGTCCTGGGCATCTGGCTTAGCTCCCCAGAGGGGTATCCGAATCTCATCCAGACCATCCCAACCTGTGGCTCACAAGCCACGGAGCTGACCTCTCAGGGCTTCAAAGAGAAAGGCACAGGAAGGAGACTCTTAGTGACTTCAAAACACACAAGACTCAGGCTGGAGAGATGGCTCAGTGGTTAAGAGCACTGCCTGCTCTTCCAAAGGCCCTGAGTTCAATTCCCAGCAACCACATGGTGGCTCACAACCATCTGTAGTGAGATCTGGTGCCCTCTTCTGGACTGTAGGCATACATGCAGACAGAATACTGTATACATAATAAATAAATTAAAACACACACACACACACACAAGACTTAGTGCACTGCCCTGTAGCACCCAAGTACCCGGCTGGTCCTCCAAGGAATCTTTGCCTCCTTTGGCCTTGCCCCCACCTCTCCCTGCTTGGCTCAGCATCTCTGCTGTCCACTTGTTGCTCAACAAGCCTGGGGTCACACTTCAGGAGACACCCGGTCTTTCTGAAGTGACAGGTTGTTAAGCTCACAGTGTGCCACGAGTGGACACAGGCATCATTTATCACAAAGGACAGGAGGAAAAGTACAAATCAGATGAAGTGAGAAAGGCGCTTACCTGGTTCTGTGGGGGCCTCCAGGATCCCCTTTCTGTGGAGCCTGGTTCTTACAGGTGTCTGAGGCAGTTCACAATGGTTTTCTTGACCCTCTTCAAGCCATGGCACCACCAGTTTTGGGAGGAAGCTGGCCCGGCATTCTGGGGCTGACCATGGGTGATGGTGTCTTCCTGGATGATGGTGTCTTCTTGGGTGATAGACACTTCCTCCAGAGTTCTACTCTTTTCTTGCATGACGGTCTGTTCTTGGATCAGGGTTGCTTCGTGCGTAATGGTCTCATCCTCGGTCATGGTCAGTTCCTGGGTCATGGTCAGTTCCTGGGTAGTGGTCACTTTCTTCATGATGGTCCCATCCTGAGTCATGAATGCTTCCTGGGTAATGGTTACTTCATGGGTGATGCATGATCACAAGTGCACGCACACACACATGCAAGCACACACACACACACACACACACACACACACACTTGAGGTTGCCTACATGTACACTCACATGTACTATATATAATTTTAAATAGTGATAAAAGTCTTTTGTATAGTTTTATTTCTATGACCTGGAAGGACATAAGAGGGCAACAGATCCCCTAGATGTGGCACTTCAGGAAGTTATGATGTCATAAGATTGCTATGAGGTAGACCTAGGTCTTCTGCGAGAAGAGTACATGCTCCTAACTGCTGGGCCATCTCTCTAGCCTAACCCATCCCCAAAGAAATCTGATTTTAAAACCCCAAGAGTCCTTCTCATGGACTGGAAAATGTGGATGGAATTGAGAAACTTCTTGATGTAAATTCAACTAAGAAGATATGATAAAGAACAAGATTGAAATATTTACGAGGAAAAAATCTGCATAGAAAAGCCCAGGACCAGGCAAACCTACTGATGAATCCTTCCAATCTCTTGAAAACAAATGTCAGTGCTCCTCAATACTCCACAAAATAGAAAGGTACTTAGCAGTACCAAACTCATTCATGCCCAAACCAGGATAACACAATGAAGAAAAATAAAGGCTATTTCCATGATGAACATAGATGTAAAAGTTTTTAATAATACTACTTAATACTTTTCACCAAATTCACATTAGCCAGGCTACACTTCATAGTTAAAATATGCTCACAAGGATCCTTGCAAGGATAGCTCTACATATTCAGCCTGATAACACAACATTGAAACAGAATTAAGGGCAAGAGTGCCACAGTCACACAGAGAAGGATGAAACTGTGGGGCTCTCAAGAACATGGTTGGCACTGGAGAAGATGGCTCTACGTAGAAACAGCACTCCACAGATGTGAGGTTCAGCACTCCACAGATGTGAGGTTCAGCACTCCACAGATGTGAGGTTCAGCACTCCACAGGTGTGAGG